TGTAAATCCTGTAAGCAGAGGTGTAATTGTGAGCACAGGCTGAGTTCAAAGGGAATAAAGTTCCTACCAAAGTTTACAAAATGTGGAAATGTTTGTCATCACAATCAAGTAAGGCAGTGTTGTCCAAACTTGGCCACTTTAAGATGAATGGACTTCATGCTGGCTGGGGAATTCTGGGAGTTGAAGTCCATTCATCTTAAAGTGGCCAAGTTTGGACAACACTGCCTTACTTGATTGTGATGACAAACATTTCCACATTTTGTAAACTTTGGTAGGAACTTTATTCCCTTTGAACTCAGCCTGTGCTCACAATTACACCTCTGCTTACAGGATTTACAACTCTAAAGCTGCTAGTTAATGCTCCAGCCTGAAGAGCCAAGACAGCCAGTGGTGAATGTTTTTTCCAACACAGACCAGGAATGTTGGCTCATTATGTTCAATAAAGGCTTAACACTGTACATTATTTTGTGTGCTGTTTTTTTAAGCAGAACCCTTTTATCTGTTAATGGGACTTAGATAAAACTCAGATCACATTGTAGGTCACGGTCCTGTAGGATTAGGGATAATTCTAAAGGATTCACAAATTTTCTCTCACCACTATAGACTTAATTAGTCTCTAGGTGGAGATACAATGCTGGCTTATATCAATATGAAGGCACTGCATGTCAGGATAGGCTAGAGTAAGAAACATACTAAATTCAATAATCCCTTCACAATTTCTGGAAGCATTTATTTATTTATTTATTCAATTTGCATAGCTGCCCATCTCACGTATGTATGTGACTGGGCAGCTCACACAGTAAAAACACAAAAAACAAATACAATTAAATAACCAAAACAATAACAACAAAAACACATTATATTAAAAACCAATAGTTATCTAAACACCTTAAATCCAACTTATGACATAAGCCTTTGTACCAAAATGCACATATAGGATGGAGTCCAACTTCTTTGGGCATGTCATGGGCATATTTTTTACTGTTTGTCTAATCTTGATTATGTGTTTTCTATTACTTTCTGCTGGCTTTGAAGACTTGCCCTTTACTCAACTCCTCCTCCCTTTTTAAACACACCTTGTGAAAACTATGCAGTTGTATATTCATCTAGCATATACACTGTACTACTAAGTACATACCTTCCTCTTTAATTATTTGTCACATATGAAAAATTATTAAGACTCAGTTAATGATGTTGAGGCTCAAACTGATATGCCGTCAAGTAATGTTTTGTCTATGTGTCAGAAAAGCTCAGGAGAGAGTTCATAGTGAGTAATTGATAAGTGTTGGGTATATTCCTGTGCATACCATTCTTGCTGACTTAGAATCAGATGGTCTGGCTTTTGATAAGACAGAAGCAAATCTTGATCTCAACATATACATATCAGCTATCATATCCCTGTTTTACTTCAAGTGCTTGAGTGGCGACAAAATGAGCTAAACTAAATATAGCACATTGTCTTTGGATAGTGAAAATGTGAGAAGAGACTGAAAAACAACTATGGAGAAATAAAAGACCATGAGTGACTGATCAGACTGCGTATGAGGCATTCTCTCATTTTTGATGCCAGCCCTTCAAGGTAGCCCAGACAGGAAACCAAAACTACAACTGCTAACATTACCTTTATTGTAAGGTTACTGTAACAGAGTCCTGCAAGTCTGAAAGACTCTTGTCTCTACTTTCCAGAGAACCAGGGAGGGTCCTTTGTGAGATGCTTTCTCCATCCCCATTCCTTCTGTGGGCTGAGATATCTTTTGTAAGACTGTTGCCTTGGCTGCGGCTCTTCCTCCTATCTCCCAAGATTATTCTGACAGCCCTTTATATATAATCAACACATTTAAAATGCAAGAGGGGGTTAAATTTAAGTTTCTTCAATTTATTGGTGCTTCCTCTCACATCCCACTCCCACATTTTCTATGCAAAGCAAACCAAAGGGCACAACAGTACATAACAATTAGATTAAGATTACCAATGAAAAGAAAAAAAGATCTCAAGAACAAGTATTTGTGATATTTAAATATTGAACAGGAAAGCCAGTTAATTATTGAGAAAATCTTCATGCTTAAATTATATAGGCTTATTCTATCAATTACATGTCTACTTAGGGGAAAGTGCAATTGGCTAAAGGGATTTCTCTCAGGTAAGTGTGCATAATTTAAAAATGTACTTGATTGGAATGTGGCCAGAAACCTGAAGGTGAACACACAGTGCAATATCAACCTTTGAATTCTCCAAGGGTTACAAAGGACTGTATTTGCCAGCTAATGAGTGCTATGTACAGCCAGCACTACAGTAATCTTGTTGAACCTGAAAAGGCAGGGGGAAGCTAGGAGTGTCTTGAAAGCAGAAAAGAATGCAATTGTAACGCTTGATGTGGACTCCTGCTTACATTTCCTAGTTAAAAATACAGGCAGTGACAATGATTTATAGTAATAAAGTTGCACAGACAAGATTATTGTCTTGGCATTTCAGCTTCTATAGAAGTACAGCAAAATCAAACAAACAAAATTATGCTGTTCTGTTTTTCAGAAGCTGGGTGTTTAGAACCAATGAAAACTGGAAGCTGCCGAAATTATCAGGTGAAATGGTTTTATGCCAAGGATACAAATTCTTGTGCCCGATTTTGGTATGGAGGTTGTGAAGGCAACCAGAATAGATTTGAAACCGAACAGGAATGCCAGGCAATTTGCGTTCAAGGATAAAGGTAAGTAGGATATCTTAAATAAATGGTAGTATTTATAAATTTCATTTATTTTTAAATAGTCATGCAAACCTTTTCCTTGACAAAGCATTTTCCTAAATGTGTTCCATAAACACATCAGCTGTTTAGGGTTGCGTTAATTTGAACTGTATGCTGTCTTCTTACAGATGTGTACAAGTAAATTTGCTGATTTTTAAAGAGTTAACATTAAAATATATTTTTCTGTTACAGAAATCTCAAGATTTTAGAAGAAAATGAAGCTAAAGTTTGCATAATCATGCTAAAAGAATTTCAAATGCTGTATTAATAGTACTTCTGTAATATACTTGGTGCTTTTATGAAGCATTGACAGAGTTTATAAAGCACTGTATCTTTATAGAGGATAGTTTTACTTGATAAAAAGCAGTTTACACATTTATGCTTATTGTTCAATATTGCAGGATTTTTAATAAGCCAGATATCATGGATTGTAACAATTAGTCTTAACAGAACATTGTTTTCTATTATGTGGAAATGAAAATATTCTGTACCACAATCCGGACCACCATCAGAAACTGCAACAACAACAAATGGAAAATTATATTGGAGTATAGTTGGGAACTTTCAGAACAGAATGTCTCTCTATAGATACAGCTATATAGATGGACTTTTCCCACATCAGGGCATATCTAATATTGCAACTAAGGATAATGAAAATCTGGTTGTTTTTTTCCCTTCTGTAATTTAACTTCAGGAGCCAAGATCCAGCTATAACTGTAAGCAACAAGCCATAGAGAATAACTGATGGCTCTCCACATGTGTCCTGTTCATATCAAGACACCATCCTGCCAATTCAGTTAACACATTTAGATGAACATCAAGTGTGGCTTCTTATGCAAAAATCTCTGAGTTAATCAGGACCAGTATTTTTAAAGTTATTTTTGTTAAAGCTTACTCCATATTCTCTTGTTTCTCAGGGGTCTTATACAAAAGAGCAAAATAAATTCATAGTAAATGTCAAAATCAATTATAGAAGAATAGGGAAAGCACTGAAAGATGTACATAAGTATATTTTTTCATACTGTATTTTTCTTTTAAACCTTACCTCTGCACCAAAAGTACTGTATATGCTAAAACTGATGAGTGATAATTAAACTGATCATATGAACAAAAGAGCTATGTTTTATTTGAAAGTGTGGCAACGTGAACTTTTCTTCATAATAAACTTAAATCAATTCAGCTAAAAGATAAAAATGGTAGAATTAGCAATGAATATGACTATAGAGCATACAGTGGCTAGCAAAAACTTGCCAGGATTTCAGGTTGATTTTTTCCCCCATATCTACAAGGTGATTCCAGGAACTGAATTTGGGACTGTCTGCATCTAAGGTATCGTCTCCAATATTTCCCTAGACGGCTTTCAGGTATATTCAAATTCCAGCAGCTCCTTTTTAGATATCAACCACTGGATGTTTTAAACAAATTTAACGGGCAGTATTGTTTGTATATTTTAATACTTGTAGAGTTGTTAAGAATAAATAACCCACAGGCTAGATGAAACAATGCTCTAACATTCTCATAATTTGAAAAAAAAACTTGCAGAATAAAAATATAGAAAACTGAATATTTGATTCGTTATTTAAAGTAGCATTAGAATTCACTGCATATTAAGAACCACAAGAGTAACATTTTATAATGGAGAAATGTTTGTGCAATTTTAAATAACTAGAAACAAATGAAAAGCACTTCAAAGAGTATATTTTAAAATATAATTTCTTAATCATATGAACAAACCAATTGCCATTTGTCATGAAAATTTATTTTTCCTGTCATTTAAAATTCATACTCATATTTTAACAAGAACATACTGCTCAGCAGTTAAGGTTGATATCTTCAAATGTATTTTCAGTAAGATTTATATTGAATGTTGTACACAAAATACATTAAAGTTGCTTTATATAGTATAATCCACATTTTCCCTTTTGTTGTAAGACAAAAACCTTTACAATCAACTTAGTATGGTACAGTTTTAAAATATACATAATGATCAAAGATGAGACCACTTCCCTTCTCTGTCATAACCAATCTTTGTCAATATATTTAAATGAATCATACAGACATAAGTTTGAAACAATACTGCAGCAAATATACCAGCAATTAAATAATCTGAATATTGTTTTAAATTTACAGGTGTGGTAAAATATTCTAGTGAGAGTTGTTAACAGGAACTTTACTTTAAAAACAAATGCTAAAAACGCTTATTAGGTAAATATTAGGAGATGTGGATTTTTTTGTCATTCAACCTGGACAAGCACATTAGATACTATACAAATAAAAAGGGGACAGAAATTAGTATTAAGCTTTCTTAGAAACTTGATATTTGATCCAACCTACAGAACAAATTTGGGGACATAAATACCAGAATCTCCATTTCTTAGAACAAGAACAGTGTAATAATGCAATGTTATAAAATATCCAATTTCAGAACTTGGCAAGTAGATTTTTGTTGCATCTCTGCCTAGAATACAATACTGGGAGATGTAATGGCAGGGACAATTTTGAGGTATAGAAGATATCGGATGATCAGAAAAATATGTGGATGTCTCAAAGGTGTTATTCAAATTTCCAATGCTAAATAGCCAAGACTTGAATCACTATAGTAGAGCTTCCCACAGCAGCCCTTTCACCTTCACAAAAAGCTATTTTGCAAAGTGCTCTCAGAGCAGGGACTGCAGCCAGAATAGCAGGAGTAGGAGGAGAGATGAATTGGTGGAACTAGTCATTGTCCATACCATGGGACACTCTAGGTTCAAAAATTAGCAAACAAAATGGCCACTAGCAGATGAAGCAACACATTCATTACAAATGAATACCAGAAACTTCATAATTGAAGGAATCTGCAGAAAACTTTTTGTAGGCCAAAAGTTGCAGTGGGCAGGAGACATTAACAAAAATGGGGAAATGGCTCAGGATTGTTGGTTTTTTTCTTGAGGAAAGCTTATGCAACTGGGTTTCTGTTGTCCTTTCTATAAAAGGCTATAATTTCTCAGTCATTTGCTATTCAAATAATTAACAGTCATTAGGGTACTTAATGGTATATAAAAGGCCTTAGATTAATTTACTTTCTCCACAGACTAGCCATATAATTCACTAGTAATTAACATCAAGTGCTTGGAAAAAATACTTTGAGGTAGATTAATATGAATACCACCAAAGCAAAAATGAGCAAGAAAAGAGATCAATAATAAGAAATTGCAAGATATAGAACATCTGGCACTATCAACAACATTCTTATTAAACACCGTATGACCTTAAAATTCATCTAATGAGAAAAATAGTTACATATTTATCTCAGCAAAGTAATCTGTCACTGAGCGCTTTTTGAAATTTAGCCAGTTTTCAGTTATTTCTTCATTTTTTCCTCATGACTAGTCTAACAGCGAAATAATCATAAGTTCAAATTTAGAGCAAAGTGTTTGTATCCTTCTATTAATTCTAGTTTCCAGAACTTCTCCAGAGATCAAATTTAGAACATATATGCAAGCACATTTAGTCCAGGTTTTCCTTAAATCCTGCTTATCTGTGATGCATCATTAAGACTTATTGCACATCAACAGCAACATGGTGAGCAAAACAATATTCCATATTTAAGAGAGGCAGAAGATTATGTGCAATTGTGGAATCAACACTTTCATAAATTGGCAGCATCCCAATTTAATTCAAAAATACAGAATGTTTAATATGACTTGCAAACAAATTTAGCCATCAAATGCTACGCAGTACGTATCTTATCAACAAGATGTATGAAATACAAACTTGTACAATCATTTTAGCAGGACTGTTTCTGCAAAGAAGAATTCTGAGCATCACGACAAAGACAGGAAGATTCAACACCTGCATACCGCAATAAGAAACTGTCCCGTAGTTCATAGTAAGTAGTGATGTGTAAAATATATCAAGTTCAAAACACTTCTTGAATGGTCAAAAGAGCATCCATTACATCGAGTACAACAGGAGCAATCTGTTGTGCTTCAAGCTCAAAACATTTACATATCCTTAGTACAGAGCTGCTGCTTGTGTTGACAAAGGTATCAACAAAGAGAAAATTCAATGACAAAAAGTTATAATAAAAACAGTAGTAAGCTTAACTAAATAACCATCTAACTTCAAATGGAAACTAAGAACAGCTCAAAACACTAGATAAGCAATATTACTTCATATTTTAATTTAAACAAGCCCAGTTTTAAACAGAAGGAAAAATATTTTTAATATATAGAATTAAACCTGGACATATCAATTTCTTGCTATTTCTTACGTTATCACTGTAATTCACATTCCAGAGCAAGCTCAAAGAAAACATTTATCTGAATAAATAAAAATTTCTTTTGCTTATTTTTTGAAACAACAGCCATTCTAATAATGCCCACAATGCTGAACCATATTTACACTTTTCTTTCTGCCAGCACTTTTAAGACTTTATTCTGCATAAAGCATCCTAGCTGTGAGACAGAAAACAAGACTAAAATGATTTTAAAAAATCAGATTTAAATTTGGACACTTGTAACCAAGTAGGATGCTAGGGGTTTTCACATCTGACTTCATGGGATAAAGTGTTTTCTTCATATACAAACTTGAATCTCTTGCAAAACATCAGTTTCCGGTCTA